TTAAAAAAAAAAAGAGAGACTTCTATGTAGGTCCTAAGTCATGCAAAGACACAAATTTAGCCTCTAGAACAAATCCTAATCAACTAGTAAAAAAACAGCTATATCTTTAAAAAAAAAAATTCAAACTTTTAATATTGCTAATAAATGTCGGGTGAACTTAAAAGACATATATGAAAAATAAACTGAACTTCTGTGACAGTTATGAGAATAACAAGGTTATGTTAAGTGAAAAGCTCAAGAAATTTCTGAGAAACAGTAGTTTTAACAAAATCAAACTTTAAAATATAATCTATACCAATATCTATTTGGCAGAAGGTAAAAAAAATGAAAGCTAAGTTTTAACAATTTATAAAGAGAAATGTATACATTTTAAAAAATATTTAAAAGAATGCCTCAAATTATAGGAAATTAACATGATTAAATATTTAGCCTAATTAAGTCAAGAAAATTACTTTTCACCATGTAGTTTCATTCTTCTATCATTGGATTTTCTTCCATATTTCGATGAGTATGGAAGAATCTTGGATCTTTTTTCCTTTCTCTTAATTCTCTTACTATCCTATTTGTTTTTCAATCAAATTTCCAGAATAAATACAAAAATTCACATACTTTTAAATTAGTAGAAATAAAGATGGAATAGTAATTATTACTCTAAGAGCAAGCATTGGTACTAAATAACATACTCCCCAGACTCCAGTGAAAATGGCTCAGTAAAAATTGCAGTACTGCCTGAGTGTCACATAAGTGAAATACTGGTTTTAGGTAAAAAGTACTTTTACTACAAAAAAGAATAGGAATTCCTGATTTCAACTAATTATTAAGAGAGATTTTTGAATCAAGATGATCCCCAAACCTCATTTCTCTTTCCAATATCTTCCTATTTACCTTTCATAAGCGCACATATCACTTGATGACCACTTCTGTTGGTAGAGAGGCTAATAATCAGTAATGCAGCTAAAATGTAAGTATAGAGAAGTAGTCCCTACAAAATTCACAGACTTAGAAGTATACCCTAACTACTAAATGTATATTTAAAT